CTGTGGGACACCGGCGTGTCCTTCAGCCTGAAAGGTCCTGCGCGCGCACAGAGACACTGCAGACGCAACCCCAATCACCGCGCCCAACTACAGCAGCTCTGAACCAGAACAGTGACTGATCACCGCGCGCAGGTCTGTAATCCGAGTCTATTATTATCCTATAATTAAAGTGTAAGTGTGTGTGTGGTGTGTGTGTGTGTGTGTGTATGTGTGTGTGTGAGAGTGTGTGTGTGTGTGCGTGCGCGCGTGTTTGTACCTTCGCTCCGATCTGGTTTCCACACTGTCCGGCCTGGATGTGCACGATCTCGCGCATAGTGCTCTCGCGCTGCTGCTGATGATGATGCTGGGGAGTTTGTGCGCGCGGCGCTGCTGCTGCTGGATCTGAGGCTGCTGCTCGCGTTGCTGATGCAGGAGAGTTTGTGCACGCGCTCCGACCGGCTGCAGTGAGGGGGCAGCGAGGAGGAATCTGATAGGACGGCGTCACATTCACCTGCAGCCTGGCAGCCAATCAGGAGCGAGAGCGGTGATGCAGTCACGCGCTGCAGAGGAGCAGTGCTGACCCAGCTGGACACACACATACATCATCATCACACACACACACACACACACGCGAGAGCGCGCGCAGTGCGGCCACTGCAGGACACATTTAAAATAATCACCTAATTATTTTGCATTGCAGGGGAAATCCACTGAAATTTCTAAATGTCTGCATAATTAAGTGGTTCCGATGTAATCAGAGGGGTTCAGAGCGGTTTGGTGTGAAACGCTCTGTTCTAGATAAACTTACCGAGTCAGAACTGTTCACAAAGGTGGTGATAGGAACCAGCCGTCCTCCTCTAAAAGCTCCCTCACAGAACCTACAGTAAATGGTTCTGAATTCACTGCCTGATGACTGAGACGCTGTTTATGGTAGTTTAGAGGAGTTTGGCCTTAAAGCTGCAGTCAGTTTGGATACTTTTGAACTGGATGTTTAGATGATCAGCGCAGTTAAACCCACTAATCATAAACAAACACAGACCTCAGACTACAGTCTACAGACTACAGACCACAGTCTACAGACTAAATACCACAGTCTACAGTCTACAGACCACAGTCTACAGACTAAATACCACAGTCTACAGACTAAATACCACAGTCTACAGACCACAGACTACATGCTACACTATAGTGCTGATTGGATAACATTACTGCTACGGAGCGCTGATTGGTTAGCGTCACTGCTACTGAGAGCTGATTGGTTAGAATTACTGCTACTGAGTGCTGATTGGTTAGCATTACTGCTACTGAGAGCTGATTGGTTAGCGTCACTGCTACTGAGAGCTGATTGGTTAGCGTCACTGCTACTGAGAGCTGATTGGTTAACATTACTGCTACTGAGTGCTGATTGGTTAGCATTACTGCTACTGAGAGCTGATTGGTTAGCATTACTGCTACTGAGCGCTGATTGGTTAGCGTTACTGCTACTGAGAGCTGATTGGTTAGCATTACTGCTACTGAGAGCTGATTGGTTGACGTTACTGCTACTGAGCACTGATTGGTTGACGTTACTGCTACTGAGCACTGATTGGTTAGTGTTACTGCTACTGAGCGCTGATTGGTTAGCATTACTGCTACTGAGAGCTGATTGGTTGACGTTACTGCTACTGAGCGCTGATTGGTTAGCGTTACTGCTACTGAGCGCTGATTGGTTAGCGTTACTGCTACTGAGCGCTGATTGGTTAGCGTTACTGCTACTGAGAGCTGATTGGTTAGCGTTACTGCTACTGAGAGCTGATTGGTTAGCGTTACTGCTACTGAGAGCTGATTGGTCAACGTTACTGCTACTGAGCGCTGATTGGTTAGCGTTACTGCTACTGAGCGCTGATTGGTTAGCGTTACTGCTGCTGAGCGCTGACTGGTTAGCGTTACTGCTGCTGAGCGCTGACTGGTTAGCGTTACTGCTGCTGAGCGCTGACTGGTTAGCGTTACTGCTACTGAGCGCTGACTGGTTAGCGTTACTGCTACTGAGCGCTGACTGGTTAGCGTTACTGCTACTGAGCGCTGATTGGTTAGCGTTACTGATACTGAGAGCTGATTGGTTAACGTTACTGATACTGAGAGCTGATTGGTTAACGTTACTGATACTGAGAGCTGATTGGTTAACGTTACTGATACTGAAAGCTGATTGGTTAGCGTTACTGCTACTGAGAGCTGTAATTTTTTTTATAATGAACCATTTCACACCAAAAGAGTTTCATCTCAAATCACTTCATTATGGCTGGAATTTTGGAAAATCTGTGGAATTCCCCTCCGACAAAACACAACCCACACGTTCAGATGTTACTCCATAAATATTCAACTTTATTATGACACTATGGCTTATATACAAGTGCATTATTATCAATGTTAAAAAATAAACAACAGAACAATGAAAAAGATGCAGCTGAAACCCGAAGATAATCGATTACATTCAGTTCCCGTCTCAGGACACAGAGGACACACCTGGTCCAGGTAGGTGAGGTGAGGTACTGTAGTGCATTCACAATCATTCCTGATTGACGGCTAAACAGCTTTGGCTACAGCAGCCCACCTCTCAGAACAGTGCATTAGCGTTAGCATTAGCATGGTGGTAGACCTCTCTGGGCTTCATCAGCTGGTTTCCCGCTCAGTGTGTAGGTAATCCCACTGTTCAGCAGCCTGCAGTCGTTCACCATCAGAACATATTAGTTACCTTTTAGCTTCATTGGCTTAACAATCGCAGCTTCTTATTCCAATGAGTTGCTAAGTGATGCTTAGCTCCTCTTTGCTTCGCTAATATGAGCTAAAATCCTCCAAAACAGTCATAATAAATATTTAGTTGTGGATTTTCCTCCTTAAAATCACATCAGAGCAAATTCCTAAAATAATTCACAGGCTAGTGTTCCACGTACTGCTAAACATTTAGCTAGCATTCACCTGGAATGTGGCGCCTCTGCTGTTGGGCTGTGTTTACATCTTTTTGTTTTCTTATGACAACCACAGTATTTGTGTTATGAGAAGATGCTAATGCTCTGTTAACTGTTAGTTTAAAAAATATCAATGTAAATATAAAAGTAAATATGCTAGCAAACTGCAGCTGATCATTTAAACTGTAGTTTAAATTGGGGCTGTTTATTAGCAGTTCAGCTAATTGAACTGTCGACCTCTGGTGGCCTGTAGTTTGTTTTCTAGACAGTGGAACTGAGTTAGCAGTTAATCCTCAGCGATAACCAAAATGCTAACTATTGCTCAAGAGACGTGAAGACTAGCAGCCCCAGATTAGCATTATTAGTCATGTACACATGTACACAGTTATGGAGATCCTGCTTCCACAAGTTCTGTCCAGAGCCACAGCGTGCTCCAGGTGGCTGAACTTGAAGAACTTGAAGCCGAAGCTACAGAACGAACACCTGTGCAGGTGTTAGTGCTGCTCTAATGGCACCGAGCTGCTGCTTCTCCTCCTCCTCAGATGGGCTCCTCCTGGTCCAGGAGCATCTAAAAAGCACCTCCAGGGTCTCAGAGAAACAGTGAGGAACCTCCATCAGCTGGGTGAGTCTGGCTGATAATATTTGGCTTTTTATTTTTTTAATACTTCCATAACTCTGCAGCTCCAACTGTACTCAGAGTTCAGCAAACCAATCACGATTTGAAATGATTCTGACTGTTTTAAATATATTTGCTGTGAAAAGTTTCACAGCTGTATTGCATTTGCTGTGTCATTAAAAACCAGATCCGGTGATTCTTACTGCCGTTATTATTATTTTCTTTCAAAAATAAGCCCATTTCTGTGATAACACTGAGCCGTCGTTCACCAAATAAACCCTGGTGTTAATGTTCGTTAGTAGAAATAAAAGAAAGCGAAACGGTCACATTTCAGCCTGTGGCGATTAGAGGGGTCATATAAACGTACCGGTTATTGCTTCATCAGCCTGTTTATGTTACACACTTCCTCTGAATAAAAGCCGTGATAACGAAACTCCACGAATGAAAGATAAAGCTGTGTTTGTTTTACAACATCGTACTCGATACTCAGACTCACATCTGTTCACGTTTCATGTGTTTACAAGTTCACATTCGTAGCTTTTTTAACATTTGCATGCTTTGTTGTTGTCATGGTGATGCCACACTTGCACAGAGAAGCTAAACGGCAGGAACGGACGCACACTCAGAAAAACAGTTCTGATTTTTCATCTTCTTTATTTAAACTCATCCTCTGTGTGGAGACTGACCTATAAATTACAATAAAATACACGCTCACCGAATATCCACTGCCCACCCAGCATCCACTGGCCTACTGAATATCCGCTGCCCCACTGAATATCCACTGGCCCACCGGATATCCACTGCCCACCGAGCGTCCACTGGCCTACCAAATATCCACTGCCCCACTGAATATCCACTGCCCACTGAGCATCCACTGGCTTACCAAATATCTGCTGCCCCAATGAATATCCACTGTCCACCGAGCGTCCACTGGCCCGCCGGATATCTACAGCCCACTGAGCGTCCACTGGCCTACCAAATATCCGCTGCCCCACTGAACCCTGCCCCGAGCGTCCCTGGCCCGCCGATCTCAGCCCCTGAGCGTCCACTGGCCTACCAAATATCCGCTGCCCCACTGAATATCCATTGGCCTACCGAATATCCCCTGGCCTACCAAACATCTGCTGCCCCACCAAGCGTCCACTGGCCTACCAAACATCCGCTGCCCCACTGAATATCCCCTGGCCTACTGGATATCTGCTGCCCCACTGATTATCCCCTGGTCTACCAAATGTTCACTGCCTACTAAATATCCACTGGCCCACTGAGCATTCACTGCCCCACCAAATCTCTGCTGCCCCACCAAATATCCACTGGCCCAGAGACTATCTGCTGCCCCACCGACTATCCGCTGCCCCACCGAATATCTACTGGCCCACCAAACTTGGGCTGCATTACATTTCCCTCACTTCTACAAGAAACTGTGTTAATACCCTGGATTAAATGAGGGATAATTCAGATTCAACAGTAGAAATTGTTTATTACACTGTCTATCTGAAGATCAGGACAAACTACCTTGCACCCTAAACACTGACTCAGTGCGGGAACCTGGTACAGATTCATTTAATTACACTTAAATTCAACATGTTTCACCTAAGTTTCAACTGATTTCACCTAAATTCAATAAATTTAATCTAATTTCATCTTTCAGCTGATTTCACTAAAGCAAGCAAGTCAGTGAAAATGAACAACCACTTGCAGACACTCTGGATTCAGCAGAGTTCCCTCATCCAGACTAGGCCTTAAGCCTCAGGCATTAGGGGCTAGGGGCTAGGGCCTAGGGATTAGAGGGTTAAGGTTTAGAAGACAGGGTTTAGAGATTTTGGGTTATGCTTGAGGGTTTAGGGGCTAGGGCATAGGGTTAGTGCTTAGCGATTTAGCCATTATAATTGAGAAGTTATGGTTAGGCTTGAGAAGGTGGGGCTTAGAGTTCAGGGGTTAGGGGCTAAGCTAGATGTTAGGGCTGAGGATCTGCTGCTTAGAGCTTTGGAGTTAGTAATTGGAGTTTGGGGTTAGGTTGGGTCTTAAACATTAGATTTTAAGAGTTAAAACTTATGATATAGGAGCTGGGGTTTGGCAGTTAAGGCCTAGGGGTTAGGAACTAGCACCTAGGGCTTAGAATTTAGGAGTTAGGGCCTAGGGTTTGGGTTACTCCAATCAGAAACTCTTATGAAATGAGGAACTCTGTGTCTATTTAAAAACCAGCCTGGTGGACTTTAGACTTTGGATGCAGAACTCTGTTAATCCACACAGTCCTTCTGTAAGTGTGTTTGTGTAATAAACTCTTTAGTGTTTGCATGTTTTTCAGTTTAGCCAACCGTCTTTAACAGTAGCGGCTGCATTGTGTAACTGGGAAATTCCCTTTGGGAGCGTCTCCTTTAGCACAGTTGAAAAGCATTGTTTTATTCAACTAATGAAATATTACACTGTGTTCCCATCAGTATGGATATGAGTGCTTTCATATCCGACTTTATTCTGAATTTCACTTTATTAATCATTGAGCAAATTTCAATCTGAAGTGTCTGAGAAAGCAGCCTGCTCTTGGCACTCTTCATGTTTGACCACGATGGGCTTTACTGGTCATTTTAAAAAGGCAGTTATACTTCATATTCTGCAGACAGGAGTTCTGAGTCTAAGTGACTGCAGGGAATTCCAGTGTTATCCAGGTGGTCCGGGTTTGATTCACACAGGTAGTGTTCAATTACCACCTTTTTAAAGCCCCAATCAGAAACTGAAGCTGCCTAAAGCAGCGTTTTACTGGCGCTGGAGAAGGTTGTTGATAGTTGAGTTCCTGGGTGCGAGCCTGGTTTATAGCTCTTCCCTTTTATTAGCGGATCCCTTTCTAGCATCTTTAACACTTGCTGGTCTACATAAATGGCTCGTAGGCTGATAATAGCCCCCCAGCACTCAGCTGCCCTCCAGGGCAAAGCACCAGCCATACTGGCCATCATGAAGATGCCAGACCATTGGCGGCGCTGGAGGTGGTGGTGAAGTCCACAGCTGGAGATGGACCAGAGTCTATGGGTGAGGAAACTGTGAGGTCCACTGTAAAGGGGTCTCCAGCAGGCTGCATCGCTGGAGCTTCAGGTAAAACAGCAGCACCAACCAGCGAAGGAGAAGGAGTCTCTAAAGGGGCAGGGTCTATTAGAGGGGGCGGGAACAAGAGAGTGTCAGAATCTATGGGTGAGGACAAGGATGGAGGAGGAAATGATGAAGGATCAGGGTGAAGCGAGTTTAGATCGTTAGCTATATAAATGGGTGAGTCTGTGGGAGGGGGCTGGGCTACGTCGTTTAGATGATTACCATGATTGCATGAGCCCACAGCGCCAACTGCTGGAATTTCTACAGAGTCTGGGATGAAATTCCCTTCAGTTTGGCTGATGCCAGGGAGGGGGGAGTCCACTACAGCACTGTCCATCTCAGGCTGTGAGCATGGGGGGGTGTGGTCAATTGAAGGAGGTGTGGAGTCCCTGTTGTATCTGAGATTAGGGGTGTGATTGCAGGGGCCTCGGAGGGGGCGTGGCCCAATAAAGAAGGATGAGGTTGGGTCTCTGTGGTATCTGGAATCATTTGAATGGGCTGGGGGGGGCCGTGGTCAGTCAGAGGAGGGGTCTCTGTTGCCGTAGATGGAGATGGGATCTCTGATGTATCTGCAGTTAGGACAGAAGCTGCAGAGGGAGTGGTCTGGGAGAGGGTGTGGCCAGACAGCGGAGTGGGTGGGGTCTCTGTGGCAGAGTGAGGGGACGGGACGTTGGCGATAAGATCAGGGAGCGAGTCTGTTATGTTGGGGTGAATGGGGCTGGTGCTGAGTGGAGTCGAGGCATTTGGGACTGCGGTGAGTAGAGTGCCCCCAGCTGGTTCCGCCAGTTCTTTCTGCTGTTTCATGACATAGAGCGCAATCGAGTCTGGTTCTCCATCCGGCGGCACAGACAGGTCGATGGCGGAGGAGGCGGTGGACTCCATGGTGGACACGGCGGTAGCGGCTGCCACGTGGAGGGGGGTGTCTGTCACCTGCCCATACTCGCGACTCTGCGCCCGTGGCAGCAGGTGGCGCTGTTCGGCTGGTTTGCGGGGCGGCAGCAGAGGCTGGCGGGTGTAGCTCTCCCCGTCGGCCAGCGTCTCGGGCAGCGGCTGGTAGCGCGTCTCGGGCAGCAGCAGGATGCAAATGATGCAGATCAGTGTGCAGCAGGCGAAGATGACGTGGTGCAGGAAGTAGCCTTTCTGATTGTGGAGCTCCATTATTGGAGCCGTCAGCATTCCGAAACCAGCGCTCGCCAACACTAGACCCAAACCTCCACCCCTAAAAAACACAGAGACACAGGAGTCAGCACACACAGGGCTGGGGTACACTGACTATCTAGAGCTTGAAATATCTGTCTGAACCAAACCTGCAGTAGAACCCTGGGTGTGATCTGAGACTCTGAGCTCTGTTTTATCTGCATGTAAACACAGTCACTAAAGCAGCTTTTTATCATGTGAGAAAACCACTAAAGTTCAGTCTTTTCTCTCTTGTAGCTGCATTTATTCAGCAGAGTTGATCACTGTAATGATCTTCTTAATGGAGAAAACAGTCCATCTTCTAGAACTCATACAGAACACAGCAGCACGGATCTTCACAGCACCAACACAGAGAGTTCATATCACCCCTGCTGTTCAGCTTAGTGAGGTTTAAAGGTTCAGTACTGTATCAGGAGAAGAGGCACAAATTCACTGTTTAAAACAGGAAAATAAACTGAGTCCAGACTCTGCACAGCTCCATAGAGAGTCAGTCTGTAACATAAGACGAGGGCCTGTAGAGATCTTCTGTTCAGAGAGCTGCAGTTCCAGTTTTTCACCAGCAGGGGGTATCAACCTGTATCACTGAGTGTCAGTAATCAACACCAGCTCTGTGATTCAGCTCCTCTGTTACGAAACTGTTAGTCACATGACTCAGAGTTCAGACCCAGAAACACAGCACAACAACACAGCCTCCCCCTCTCTCTCTCTGTATATCACTCTCTCTATCTCTCTCTGTGTATCTCTCTCTATCTGCCTTTCTCTCTCTCTCTCTCTCTCTGTATATCTCAGCCTTTAGACCCAGAAACACAGCACAACAACAATCACCTCTCTCTCTCTGTATTCTCTGTATGTCTCTCTCTGTTTACCTGATGACAGTGGGGGTGATCTCTGCACAGAAGAAAATGCTCAGGTTGCTGACGGCGTGGGAGGAGAACATGCCGATGATGGAGAACGCCACAGAGAACTTCGACTTCAGCGTGTCTGACTCCTCTGAGAGAGAGAGAGAGAGAGAGACAGAAAGGGGGATAGAGAGAGAGTTACTGGAAGAGTAAGATTTATTTAAATACTCCAGTGACTAAAAACTGTTTGTTTACATGCATAAAACAACAGACAGTTTCTGAACGGACAGACAGTTTCTGAACGGACAGACAGTTTCTGCCACTGTGTAAAGTAATAAAACCAGGCTTTGTGATCTGCTACTGCAGCTCTGCTAATGTCCTTCAGTCCACGTTTACTGATAACAGTATATCATAATCACACTCTCAGGGCTGTTAGAGATCTGAAAGCAGCAGGTTCGGATCTCCGAGAGCAGCAGGTTCGGATCAGCCCTGATGTAGCCCATCAGCCGAAATGGACGCCTTGGAGAATTCTGCTTCTTTACTTTTAGTGCTGGAGCTATGATGCTAACATTGCTAATAAACACTAGAAGTCAATAGTTACCCTAATCCCGATATCTCTGTCAGCTCAAGCGTCCTGTAGGCCCGTTAAGGTGGAGCAGACTGTAAACGAGGTTTAGGACTCAGTGTGACTCAGTGTGAGAGGTTCCTCACCAGAACACCATATTCACACAGCAGGACTGATCTGAGATCAGATTCCTCTGTCTTTATTAATGATGCATCAATATCATTTTAATCAGACAGAGAAGGAGGACATATTTTTTTAGTACTTACTGATAGGGAGTCTGATACCACACTAAGTACCTACTTGGAATGAAGTATCTGTGAGTGTAAATGAGTGCAGTGTACCAGTTAGATCATTAAATCTATCTGATGTTAAATGAAGATCGTTAGCTCGCTATGCTACATCAGTGATCTATGATCGAGCAGCGCTGCAGTGGAGGTTTAGTTCCCTGTCAGAAAAGCTCTTCTGTACAGCTGTGAGTAAAGTAGGTTTCATAGTTTTGATCCTCATCTCTCTCTTTCAGCAGCAGCAGGAATTGTATCCGAGGAGCTAACGCTTCCGGTTTTCCGTCTTGTTGGAGTCGTTTGATTGGCTGGTTGAGCTGTAGCTGAATGTCCTCTAAAGCCAGACAGACACTGTGATTTTAGAGATCTTGTTCTTTGGTGACTCTCACTGTCCGTTTGACCATCGTGTTCAGACAAAGCTACGATTTATAAACTCACACTGTACGAAACGCTCCGTCTGACTGACCTGCTACGGGAAACGCAGCCTCTACAGACGC